TAAATTTTGTTTGCCTAGTTTGAGAGCAGGAGTAATTGTGTCAGCTTATACACCAGGGTCTTCATGTATGGTGGAGGTGGGAAGCAGCTGAGTTGGAGATAGGTCAGTTGTAGGTTTAATGGCTGCAGTGGGGAAGCAACAAAATAACAGATGGCATCAGGTGTGAAACATGAATAAGGTGAAGCACAGCAAAGCTGCTATTTATGCAGTGCAGGCTGGGTTTGGTTACCGAGTAGGTGTAAGCAGTTCAGAACATCTCAAAGGCCAATTAAAAATAGTGTGCTAAGGATTTTGCAATTCAGTGCATGCTGCCAGCAGTACCTTCTCCTCCTCTTCCTACGATTGCCCATTAGGCCACTAGCATTTGCAGAAATACTAGCATGCCAGGAGCTGCTCCTTGCTGCCTGCTGCCCTCCGCTGTCACATTCCTACACTGCCTGGTCGTCTGCAGTGTGAGCTGAAGCTCTGCCCTGCCAGCTCACCCACCTCCTGTGCCCAGGCCTCCCTCTTCCCCACCTGGCTTATCTCTGATTTCTCTGCCCCATGACTAACTTCTGTCTAATTCTCCTTTCACTGCCTGTGCTGACATCGCCTTAATTTGTATTCTGGCTTGTAAGGAGAGTGTTCTCAAGGGGCCAGTGCTTACAGAGTTCAGCTCTTCACTGAGAGAGACAGAGATCTATTTGGAAAGGTTGTATTCAGTTTTGTGTTCCCAAAGGAGCTGTAGCAGAAGTGATTCAGCCACAGGGACTGTAGCTCGCAAGAAAAATTTTGCCATTTGTGTTTTAGATTAAAAATGATGACGACAACAACAAAACCCAGCAGGTATGCGGGGAGGTTCATCTGAAATCCTCTAGCTAGTCTCTTGATGCTGATGTTGATCAATGCTGTAGTTTTCTTTCCTTAAGTATGTGCAACCAAAATGGAGAAAATTATCACGCACTTACACTTGCTTTCCACAACCCTCAAGGGGATTATTTCAAGAATTGTTGGCTAGAAGGACCCCGGATTTGATTACCAATTCTACTTATTTACCTCATATTTCTAGTTACTCTGTGCAGTGTATCACTTACATGCAATCCAAGTAAATATGTGCCCTTGAACATATGTTGGCTGTGGGGGAAACCTTGAGCAGAATATTGAGGCTTCAAGTCCACCAAGTGAAGACAGGCCACAGATTTGTTTTCTTCAAATGTCCAGGTGCCTACACATAACTTTGAAGCAGATTGTAGAGACTTGAATAACAACAAGCACTAGCCCTGGGCAGATCATGCTCATTTGCTACTGAATATTCCCTGGAGCATCTTGATCTGACATGGGTATTGGCAGAGTCAAAAATGTGTTTGGGTACATGTGCAGAGTGCAGTGTGTCATTTTAAACTTATATCTAACTGAACATATTAATATTTTCATCCTTACTGTTTACAGTTTCATTTCTCAAAAAAAAAAAGGACAGAAATCTGATTCTGTACATTGAGAAATTTATTTTTTTTTTTCTGGAGCCCTAAGTAAAAATGATGTCTAGTAAGTGAGAACTACCAAATTTCAGAGGAGTTATAGTTCTTGTGTGCATTTTATTCACTGTGTAATTTGACCTGAACAGAAATTCACTCTTATGCATAACTTGTATATAAAGCAGAGTTAACACATCTTTACAATATATATTTCAACAATTTTATCTTTTTTTTTTTCTACTTTTTTAAAAATGCAAGTCAGATAAAAGACATGTTTTTACAGGCTATAGCTTCTTGGAGTTTCATAAAGTAAGTTCTCAGTTTGTGATTTCATAGAAACAGTTAATAAGCAATATAAAACCTGATTCCTAGATCATACCACTGGCATCTCTTACTAAACACTAAATACAGCTATGTATTTTCATGAACATAAGCGCTAAATGTGTTAAACTTTTTTCAAAACTTTCAAAATCAAGTTCTGCTTTGCAAAAACCCCTAGCAGCTTCAAGCAACTTATTTTACTGAGTGTAACACTGGAATACTGCTCTTGGGGAAAATATACTTGAACAAAATAACTCACTGAAGCGTTACTGTATATAAAATATGAATCATTGACACTGCCTTTTTTGCCCATTTTATAAAAAAATAATGAAAGCAACATGACTTACCATATACTCATTTTTCTTCTCCCAGGCACGCGTGCTGGAGTTGATTCCAAATAAGTTAAAGGAGCAGTTTCTCATGTCTGTTCTTCCTCCTTAAACTGTCCCATATGTATTTTGTTGTTGTTAGCGTGATTGACAGGCTTGGCATTCATAGTGGGTGGGAGAAAAACATTCTTAAAGTAAAAGCTAGAATAATCTCATAGTCTGAATAAGTCTAAGGAGAATGTCAGAAAATGAAGGCTTACTTACAGCTATCTCTGTCTAGAAGTTTGATAAAGTTTTGCTAATTGGTTATGTCTTTTTTTTTCTTATTTTTTTTCTTTTTTTTCATTTAACAGGAAATAAAAATAACACAATCGACAGAAATCTGGTCTGGAAGGGACCTCAGGCAGGGCTTCAGCGGAGGGGCAGGATCACATACAATGAGACCAAAATGGTTGTCTTGGAAACAAGTTTGGTAGCCTGTTTTTCTAACTGGGGATTCAGGTTCACCATGTCCATGGGTGGCACAGCAGGAGGAAGAACTCTAATATCTATGCTCTACTACTGGAGGGTGCAAGAGAAAGTGTCTGTTTATAAGGATAATTGCTGTCTAAGCTCCAGATGACCTGGACCTGGACATCTGTTCCCTGAAGAAGCAAACCAAGTTTCATTAGCATTTGTCCATATGTAGAGATTTAGGAAACTCTTGTTTAGTCTTTTCGTTCTCAGTCCACTCCAATTTGGATCCATCTTAACTGAAAAATAGGGTGGCCAAACCTATCTCATTATGCTGTTCTTTGTCCTATAGTAGCCACTTCTGTCTCGACAATATTCCCATGTACTTTTGAAGTATTCTTGCTGTTCAACATCCATGTTACTAACAAAATGAATATGATTAATGCCAAAACAAATCCCAATGCAACCCTACTTGAAACATGCATTGAGTATGAAAGAGATCTGCAGATTTTCTCAGTGTGAATCAGATGTTCATTTTGATTCAGAGAAAACCCCAGGCACAAACTCGCCAACAGTTTCAAGTTGACAAGGAGGTATTCTTTATTGTGGCGCCGGGAGACACGGGGGATAGCTCCTCCTAACATGTGTCTCTGTATTGCCATGCAGGCCATCCTTATATGGTCACTGGGCATATTACATCATTTTCCAGAAAGTTTCCCGCCTGCATACAAAAAGGTGATGGTGATCTTTGAGGGCTGTTTTACTTTTCCCAACAATTTTCATAACCAGCTTAATTAACATTACAGACATAGCAATCATACTGCCCTTCTACTTACCAGTTAGTTTAGCTGCTCCCATCCTGGACATCTGCTGGTCCCAGATATTCCCCATCCCCAGGTCCTGTTTTTCTCTTCTGCTTTTCTTACACCTTTTGTACTAAGGTCCTAAGGACCTGGAACTATGTCAACTACCTTCAAGCACCACAGTTATTTTCTATTACAAAACCATCAAACTTAACATTACTTGGAACTGATTAGATCTTGTACTTTTGTGCCTCCTTGTCTCAATTTACAATATATGGTACTTTGATCACATTTCTCTAGTTTGTGTGCAATGATTTTTATATGGGACCCTATCAAAAGCCTTAGTGATAATATATATTTTGTGTACCTTATCTACTATTTTGCCATCATATTGAAGAAGGAAATGAGACTGGTTTGACACAGTTTGTTCCTGACAAGTCAGTTTTTCCTGCAGTATTAAAGAAACAATTTATAACGATATTGAGGCCCAACATTTGCTGTAGTGTATTTGTCAGAATTGAAGTTGGGCTGACTGTTCAGTAGTTCACTGCCCTCCTTTTCCCTGTGGTGGGTTGATCCTGACCTAGGTGTCCATCAGAGCCACTCTATCACTTCTCCTCCACAACTGCATAGGGGAGAGAAAATATAATGAAAAGCCTGTGGGTTGAGATAAGGACAGGGAGATCACTCACCAATTACTGTCACAGGCAAAATAGATTTGACTTGAGGAAATTAGTTCAATTTCTTGCCAATCAAATTAGAGCAGGATAATGAGAAACAAACTCAAATCTCAAAACACTTTCTCCTCACCCCTCACATCTTCCCAGGCTTAACTTTACTCCCAGTTTCTTTCCTTCCTTCCCCCTCAATGGTGCAGGGGGGACTAGGTGTTGTTAGTTCTCCATGCATTCTCTCTGCTGTTCCTTCCTTCTCAGGGGAGGACTGCAGTGTGGGGTCCCTCCCATGGGAGAAAGTTCTCCATGAACTTCTCCAATGTGAGTCCGTCCCACAGGCTGCAGTTCTTCACAAACTGCTCCAGTGTGAGTCCCTTCCATGGGTCACAAGTCCTGCAGCAAACCTGCTCCAGCGCAGGCTCCTCTCTCCATGGGGCCACAGGTACTGCCAGGAGCCTGCTCCAGCATGGGCTGCCCATGGGGTGACAGCCTCCTTTGCTCATTCCCCTGCTCCAGTCTGGGTTCCTCCGTGGGCTGCAGGTGGATGTCTGCCCCATCGTGGACCTCCATGGGCTGTAGGGGACAGCCTGCCTCACCATGGTCTGCACCACAGGCTGCAGGGGAATCTCTGCTCCAGTGCCTGGAGCACCTCCTCCCCCTGCTTCTTCACTGACCCTGGTGTCTGCAGGGCTGCTTCTCTCACATGTTCTCACTCCTCTGTCTGTCTGCTGTTGTGCAGTTTCCCCCAGCCCACTTCTTAACTATGTGATCCCAGAGGTGCTACCACTGATGGTCTCAGCCTTGGCCAGTGGTGGGTCCATCTTAGAGTTCTCTGGCACTGACTCTATTGGACATGGGGGAAGCTTCTAACAACTTCTTGGAGAAACCACCCTTATAACCCCTGCCCCACCTCCCCCTCAACCTTGACACACAAACCCAGTACAGCCCCTCACCTTAGAAGACGGATGTTTGCCCTTCTTTAGTTATTGTCACTTTATTGCCCTACATTATGTGCTGAATGCATACTGTTCAGAGTTCAAGGAAAATGCTTTGGCTAGCTCTCTACATAATCTGTATCAAGAATTTCATTATACCATTCTTATTTAAATTTCTAACCCAGCTTAATACCAGTAATAAGTATTCTGATCCTGCTGTAACTACTATTGAAATTAAGCATCTGGTTGCAATCTTTCCCAGCGAAGACTAATTAAATACTTCCATTTACTCTCATATTTGTTAGATATTATTTTTTTTTTTTTTTTCCCTTCCAAAGTGTGGATGTTTAATTCCCTTCTGGTTTTCTCTTACTAATGTTTCAGGAGCCACAATGACTTTGGTGGACTTCGGATGAACCTATGAGGGAAGTGTCACAGTCTTTTTGTATGGTGCCACAGGTAAATGCCTACACTTACAAAATTCTTACAAAAATGTTTCTGCAGAGGGTAATTGTGTACTTAAGATGGTTTAGTGCCTTTATAATTTAGTTTTCAACATTTGTTTTCTGCAAGTTCTTGTTGAATTTCTAGAAGTTATGCAGCAAGGTGTTCAGAATAACTTGTTTGTATGCAGCAGTGCTTTATTGCTTAAAGCGGACATCTGTTCTTACAATAATAAAACTGCAATGCCAAATCCATAACAACTTTTGTAATGGTGTGACCTATCTCAGAGCTTGATTTGAAACATGTCAGACTCAACAAAATTTTCCTGGTTTTGCAGGAATAGTAGGAATTAATAGCCGTACATGATTCCATATGACAACATATACTGCAGTGTTGGCAACATATACTATTGTTTTCTGAGTTCTAGTTGCATAGTTGTTTTTTTTCTGCTATATATCATCTGGTTACATGAGTCATGAATATGGAATTCAAGAGTCTTGGGTTCCCTTTATGACTGAAGTAGCCTTTTATTTATTTATTTAAAAAAATGTTGATTTATATAAGTAAGTCAATTAGGGAGTTTTTCAGAGGCCAAAGGGAACTCTGCCTGCATCAGTACTTCATGGATCTTTGCAAATCTTATCTTCTGTCTGGTGTTTTCCTCCCCTTGTAGCAGAGAAAATCATAAGAAGCCTTAATATATCAATGACAGCGCAAATGTTATGAAAGCTTTTGTGTTATAAAATGATAAAATGAGCATATGAGTTTTGTAGGTGTCTGTTGTTCTGGTTTTGGTGGGTTTTTTTTTTTTTTTTTTGGATGTGTATGTCATGTTTCAGATGAATTTCAATTGTTGCTAAACACTAGGTTTTCTGTTTTGCTTGCTTTGTCACAGAGGGTGGGTACATGGCATAAAACCTGTTCGTAGGGACAGTTGCTTTTTGTTATCACTCAGCCTTCTAAAATCTATTTATATGTTTGCTAGCTTGACCTTCTCTTTGAATCTAGCAACAGATTCTGCCAGAGAGATTTTCCCACATCTAACCATGCATCAAAAATGTACTTATTCTCATAGGTGTTTGTAACCTGAATTTTGCACCTACTTTTCTTTATCCTTTTCAAAAATTCATGTTTTTAACTAGTACAATGAAATACAACAGTAATAAAACCCCAACCTGCTACAAAAGTGACATTGTTCATTAGAAATTCTCTTTGGTTTTTTTTTTTTTTTGCAAGCTGTAGTGCTTGGTTGTGATACATTTCGCAAGTACTCAGTATTTTTTGCAGTTTAACTGAGCTACTTTTTTATTTTTATTCTTTTGAACACCTTGGCAGAACTTGCTGTCTGTTTCTCTTGATTCATATACTGACTTGTATCGTTTATAGAATCATAGAATATTTAGGGTTGGAAAGGACCTTAAGATCATCAAGTTTCAACCCCCTGCCATGGGCAGGAACATCTCACACTAAACCATGCCACCTAAGGCTCTGTCCAACCCGGCCTTGAGCACTGCCAGGAATGGAGCCCTCACAGCTTCCCTGGGCAACCCATTCCAGTGCCTCACCACCCTCACAGTAAAGAACTTCTTCCTTATATCCAGTCTAAACTTCACCTGTTAAGTTTTAACCTATTGCCCCTTGTCCTGTCACTACAGTCCCTAGTGCAGAGTCTGTCCCCAGTATCCCTATAGCCCCCCTTCAGATACTGGAAGGCTGCTATGAGGTCTCCATGCAGCCTTCTCTTCTGCAAGCTGAACAGACCCAGCTTTCTCAGCCTATCTTCATACGCCTGATCATCCTCGTGGCCCCCCCCTGGAATTGCTGGAGCAGTTCCATATCCTTTTTACGTTGAGGACACCAGAACTGTACACAATACTCCAAGTGAGGTCTCACAAGAGCAGAGCAGAGGGGCAGGATCACCTCCTTCAACCTGCTGGTGACACTCCTTTTGATGCAGCCCAGGATACGGTTGGCTTTCTGGGCTGCAAGTGCACACTGCCGGCTCATGTTCATTTTCTCATCTACCAACACCCCCAAGTACTTCTCCACAGGGCTTCTCTGAATCTCTTCTCTACCTAACCTGTAGCTGTGCCTGTGATAACTCCAACCCAGGTGTAGGACCTTGCACTTGGCATGGTTCAACTTCATAAGGTTGACATCAGCCCACCTCACAAGCATGTCAAGGTCCCTCTGGATGGCATTCTTTCCCTCCATCGTATCAATCGAACTACACAGCTTGGTGTCATTGGCAAACTTGCTGAGGGCGCACTCAATCCCACTGTCCACGTCAGTGATGAAGATGTTGAACAAGACCGGTCCCAACACTGATCCCTGAGGGACACCACTTGTTACTGGTCTCCAGCCGGGCGTTGAGCCATTTACCACAACTCTTTGTGTGCGGCCATCCAGTCAGTTCTTTATCCACCGATGGTCCACCTATCAAATTAATGTCTCTCCAATTTAGAGACAATGATGTCGTGTGGGACAGCGTCGAACACTTTGCACAACTCCAGGCAGATGACATCAACTCCTCTACCCCTGTCCATCAGTTCCATAGCCCTGTCATAGAAGGCCACCAAACTGGTCAGGCAGGATTTTCCCTTGGTGAAGCCATGCTGGCTGTCATCAAGCACCTTGTTATTTTTCGTATGCCTTTGCATGCCTTCCAGGAGAATCTGCTCCAAGATTTTGCCAGGCTTTTTTGCACTTACATTTTATATAGTTTCTTTATAGAACTTCTCCTTCTTTGGAATTTATCTGTGTGTTGACTATTCTGATAAAATATAGGAAAATGTGTATGAGCAGGTTTCTGTCTAGCAACATTCATATGCATTAAAATCTAGTGGGTAAATTTCAAAACAGAAAACCAATATTATTTCAATGTCTCACCTTATAATTTAAATAATATTCCTAGACAGCTTGAATTTGAAAAGCTGTGGCTGCTGCTTGTTTTAAATTATTTTGTTTGTGTTCTTTTGATGGATTTTGTTAGTATAATGAATTCTTAGTTAAACACTATTGATTTCTTTGAGGTTTGCACATTGATATGTATAAAGGTCTTTCACCATGCACATAACTCTTGATATGAGATAAATGGAAAAATGTCAAATTGATACTTCAACTCCCAGTGGGTATACTCATGCATCATTGCCCATTTTACAGTGGAAGATCTCAACAAAAGCTGCCTCTGTAGGTGTTGGACTCTGACATGAAGTTACCCTAAGAACCAGAGTGGTGTTTTTTTTTTTTTACTGCATCTGCTTCCCAGTCCCGAGTTCTCTGTCATTGGAATGAATTTGGCCAACTCCAGCTAAATGTAGTTAGAGAAAATTCCAAATGATGTTTCTAAGAAATCTGCTTTAGTATGACTTCCAAAAGAAAGCTAGATTAAATAAAAATGCACAAAGATGTCATGTATATGCGTCATGTTTCTTTGAAGTATAGGCACAGAGGTATGTCTCCATTCCCCACTTTCCCCCTACTTCCACTGTGCTCTTTAGAGCCCTCATAACCTTTGGAAAAGCCTTTGATATTACAGTACCACCAGGTAAAAGAAGCACTTATGCTAATTTCCACAATGAACTATTACTACTCAATTCACTGAGGTAGTGTGTTGAACCAGAAAACTTCCGTCACAACAGGCTTCAGAGTCATAATTGAAGTATTTGTTGTTAGGATGCATTGTTAACAGTATAAGCAAAATATGTAATGAGAAACAGTTGCATCTGTTTTTAAGAGGTATTTCTTCCTGCTTAAAATACAGGTTTGGAGAAGGATAGCTATTTCTTCCATGTTCTTCCTGAGCTGGGGAACTTAGATATATCAAAACAATAGTGAAGCACTAGTGTACCCTTGTTATAGTATCATCAGTATTAGAATGTTTGCATAGTATATAGTGTGTAGAGTGCATATATACTGTATATTATAGTAGTATAACCTAGCATTATAGCACTGCAGTATAATATGATATTGTGTTTCTGTGCTGCTGACACACACATTTTATTTAGAAAAATGTATCAGGTGAATTGACAAAGGTCATAGCCTGAGTGCTTTTATTTGCTTAAAACGATTGAGATAAAACTGGACAGGGAAAAGAACCGGATGGGGAAACAGGTCACTGCAAAATGTACAAATTTTCTGTAGTACAGCAGAAGGTCTGAGGGAAACTGTGGTCAATTGTCATACGAAGGAGGGAAGATCTGGGAAGAGAATCTCAGATACAGTTGTTTGGACAATGTGTTTTTTTTGTTTTTTTTTTTTGTCATAAAGAGAGCATGTGGAAGGAAGCAAAAATTTATGGTTTTGGGGAGCCCAAATAGTTGAGGGGAACCTTTTATTCACTATTCAAGAGGAATTGGGTGGATCATGTGTGTCAGCTGGCCAGTATCCAGATGTTGTTTCAGCCAAACAAGCAGACCTCCTGACTTCCAGTCAACATGGCCCTGAAGATGAAGTTAGAAAAGGGAACTTCTGAGTTTAGATAAAGACAGAAGAAAGGAGGAATTAAAAAGGGGAAGGGGGCTTAGAAGATAGATAGAGAAATTGAAGGCATTGATAAAGGGGGATGGGGTGTAGAAGTAGAAGGGTACAAAATATAAAATGAGAAAGAAGGTAATAGGAAGAAGACAAGCTGTATAACTAGAGAATGTTTCTAAAGGTTTTTAGACTCATAAATAGAGCTTTCACATGTCTTGTGTCCTTAGCCTGCTGTCACAGATAAAACTTTATGAACAGAGTTTATTTGACAGTCAACAGAGAGCACATATGATAAAATCTCAATAAATAAGAAAGACCTTAAGAGTTAAGAGATCTATAGGTTTGTTTTTATTTTTTTTATTCTGACTGCAGTATTCGTGGAGAACTCAAAAGTGTATTTCAAGGAATACTGTGTTTATGATAATAAATTTTAAATGGTAAAGCTATCAAGAAAAAGACAAGGTACTTTTAAATTTTCTCATTTGAGTCACAAAACTGAAGCTCAATAATTTTGCAACCTTTTATTCTAGCTCCTTTGTTTAGGTAATGGTAATGTCATCAAACCTCTCTATCAGTATCATACTATGTGAATTGGTTCTAGGTAGAATGATCTTACAATAACAAAGATATGGAAGGAACAAGGATTCAGTGTCAAGTTCTTCACACACCAAATCTGGATGATTCTTCTATGGTTGTATGCTGCATACATTCAGAATTTATTATGGTTATGTTAATTCGTTTTCCATTTTTCCTGTTAACTAGCTTTTGCTTTTGTCAACCTTTTTTTCTATAGCTTTAGCATCTCTAGTTCATTTGTCATAGAGACACTCAAGAAAAGCTGCAATTATTCTCACACGTATATTGTTTGCGCACTGCCAAAGTTGGCTGTTGCAGTATGAATTGGTGACAGTACAGAGTTATTTCAGTTGTTATTCTTCTCTCTTCCAAAGGCAGAAGCCATGCTAATTATGTTTACTTCCAAAGAAATATATATTGCCTATTCAAAAAATGCTGGGGCTTCTAAATACAGTTAGGTAGAGAGTGAATAATGACATGGGATGTACCAAAGGGCAGTTTTGTGGTACGAGGTGGAATTAGTGGGAATGACGGTAGTAGCTAACTGCTACTTGTGTGTGTTTTGCGTGACAAAAAGTGACATTGAAGTATCTCTCAAAATTTTTGCTGTTTCTAAGGAATATGCTAGGGAATGCTGGGCTCAATATCCATGCATGTTACAACCTAATGAAGAAAACTCCAGTAACAGATGCTCTCATGTGTCGTAAACATTCCTCTTATGAGCTTTTTAAGGATGTAGATATGAGGTATTCAGCATGCATCTACCTACTGATGTTGTTATAAATATTATATTTCTGACCTTCAGGTTTTCCCTCTTGATCTCTGGCTAAATGATACACTTGCCAGTTTGCACTGCTGGCATTCTGTCTGCTTAGGTTAACATTGTGATACCATGATTCCTTATGATCCCATTGTCATGGGAATGATATATCTCAAATGACAAATATACTTTGAAGCAATGTAGTAAATAAATGCACTGGCTAAACTTTACAGCAAGACTTTCTGGTGCAAAATGCCTTCTTCAGTTTCCAGTATAATTGATTTATGTAATGATGTATTAAAGAACACTGCTGTTTTATCAGATAAGGTAAAGGATGAGCTACTAATCAGGTGGAGACTATCTCAATTACGGTTTTATTTAAATCCTCCCCTGCTTTTGATTTCCTGTATGCTCCATTATTGGGCTTGCAAGACAATAAACTGAACAGCAGTGGAAAGAGGAGCCTCCTGTTTTCCATCAGTGGTGAATGGTGGTGTTGGAGCAAGTCCAGAGGAGGATCACAAGGATGATCAGGGAGCTGGAACACCTCCTGTATGAAGACAAGGTGAGAAGGCTGTGGCTGTTCAACCTGAAGAAGGCTGTGTGAAGATCACATAGTAGCCTTCCAGTATCTGAAGGGGGGCTATAGGGATGCTAAGGAGGGACTCTGCACTAGGGACTGTAGTGACAGGACAAGGGGTAATGGGTTCAAACTTAACAGGGGAAGTTTAGATTGGATATAAGGAAGAAGTTCTTTACTGTGAGGGTAGTGAGGCACCGGAATGGGTTGCCCAAGGGAGTTATAAATGCTCCATCCCTGCCAGCATTCAAGGCCAGGTTGGACAAAGCCTTGGGTGACATGGTTTAGTGTGAGATATCCCTGCCCATGGCAGGGGGGCTGGAACTAGATGATCTTAAGGTCCTTTCCAACCCTAGCTATTCTATGATTCTATGATCGTCTGGGTCAGAAGTTACAAATCAGATGATGCAGTGATGACTTCAGTCAGCTGTACCCCAGTTCATAACCAAAGCACTTAACATTCTGTATGTGTGACTGGCACATGTGAACACAAAAAATATGGAAGAATACTCTGGCCCTGATATACCTTTTGACAAAATGAAAAGGCACAGCCTATAGCTTATAGCTCATTACAAATTATGTCATTGGGAAATTGTTTATAGCTGTAGTTTGTCTCTTCTCTTTCCTGTTGACTTAGGTGGCTGACCTTAGTTTAGTTTGGTTTACAGGCTTGGAAATGGTTTTATAATTTAAAATTAACACGCCATCACAGTGTGTGCTGGATATTCTGATCCAGTGTCCCTATCACATCAGAGATGATGCCATCAGTGTTGCTTACCCTGCTAGCTCAGCTTCTGAATTTCTACTGACAGTTTACACGTGCTTATATCAGCTTCTAGAGTCATGTTTTTGTTTTTAAAGAAAGCTCAATCACATATAAAAGACAATAGCTACCAAGTATTTTTGAGATATGCATCAGAAAAGCCACACGATTACTTACTCATTAAATACTTTCTTTCCTTACTGGGATCTAATTTTTTTCCCCATAACTTTATCTATCTAGCAAGGCTTGATAAATAAATGGAGGTTTGAGCAACGCTTTAACTGAGGGATAGGAAAGCTGAAGTGCTGAAAACTATTTTGCATAGAGAAGAAGTCAGTGGAGATCTGCTCTTGATGGACTGAACTCAAGGAATACTATGAATAATTTTTTTCATTTTCCTTCTTATTCTCACAATAGACGATTGCACTTAGCCTTCTTACCTCTTGTTGTCTGTCTCACAGCATGCAACCCCCTTGTGAGTCAACACTCTGTAAGAGCAGAACAGCAGGAGAGCAAGGCCAGAAAGAATGCAATATTTTTGTGGGGGATTTCTTAGGTTAGTCTCCTTCAGATTTCTTATCTGTATCTGAGGAAACTTGAGAGCAAACATACTTGCTTCTCAAGTATCAGGTGTCAAGAAACAAAAGTAGGTTGAAACACACCACTTCTACACAACTCTGGTTATGGGTTTCTGAGAGGGGAAGGTATATCCTAAGAGGCATGTGACGGCCAGCTTTGGCTGGCTCTCTGAAAGACTGACTTCCACCCTGCTACTGACAGACAGCTGTCTGAAGAAAAAGACCCCTTGTTTTGATGTAAAGCAATATATGAATAAGGATTATCTTTCTGCTTCCCTTTTTTCCTCTGAATTTCTCTCATTTTGTCTGCTTTGAGATTGCAAACTGTCTGTGGGAGTTGGGGATTGTCCCTCTTTTGAAAGATTAGAAACATCTCAACAATAAGGTGGTTTTATTGTGGAAAAGCTGCTTTCTTTCTTTGTTCACCCTGTCTGAAAGGCACAGCCTTTGTATTTATGGCATTTAATACTCTAACACAAACATCCTTGCCTGTACTACCTATAACTGGTAAGAAAATACTCTTACAATTAGTTTTGGTTATTAACTTCAGTTTTAGAAACTCTTACATGTATTTCTCTGCAACCTCATATAGAAGAATTCTAGAGCATCCATCCTACAAAAGTAGACTCTGTCCAAACACAATCCATCTCAGAGCAAAGTTGAAATGTAGCATTTAATATAAACTTTCAGTGATATTTGATATCTTCCTAACAGTAGAAGAATTTAGGAGAAAAGTTGACAGGAATAACCCTCCCTGCTTCAGAGGGTAGCCACCTTCTTTAAGACCTACTTTAAAATTTTTACATAACAGAAGAATTTCTTTTGTGGGTATGAATTTGGAAACTTGGAAAGCAAAACCAAGTGAGCTTCTTGAATACAGCTGACCCCCCCATTGTTTGATTCTTATGCATCCTTTAATGTGCTTGTAGACAACGGATCTTTAGATTCTCTCTTTGCTCCCAGAGGAGATTAAAATAGTACTGGGAACTATTTATTGAATGTTATGAGGGAATGCCAGTATTGAGGCTTATTTTTTTGATGAGGGGATATTAGTAGGTTTTTGTCTAATTTCTTGGTGGACTGCATCTGTTGGGCTGTTCACACACTTTGAGTGTTCTAATAAATCTTCTAAATACATATTTTCTTTTATCATTCACTCTCACAAAATATACTGCAGAAAATTGTTAATCTGATTATTTTGTTTAGAGATTTAAATTGTAAATCCATCACAGATAAACCCCCTCATTTTTCTAAACTGAGTAAGCAAAGATAAGCAAAGATATCAGAAAGGATGCCTTTCAGCAAACTTTTATCAAAATGACCCCAGAACTTTTCAGTTAAAGTTCAGGGAGAAGAACTTGAATCATAGAAAGTCCTGTTTATTTTCACAGAGGATCTTAATCCTTCATGTACTTTGCTTAACATTACAGGATCTTCTGTAAGAAGTTAGCACTTGCCTTTATTTGAAGTTACCAACTGAATTCTGAAGACTCTGCAAGAGATCAGAGCACTTTGCTGGACTGACACAGCACAAAGGTGGTGAAATCGCATTGCTCTTAATGAATGTTTTTCAGAGAGTTTTGTGAAGGTGAGTTGGAAGTAAAAGGAAGTGAAGGGATTGGTAACTGCATTTCACTGGTTGAATAACTTTTCAGATAAGGTTATCAACATACTTTCTGCAGTTGCAGACATCTGTTGTCACAGATTTATTGAACAAAGCAGTTTCTAAGATGAGTTGCAACGCTACAGGCTTAGCTTAACTCTAATGATATATATACAGCGTGCATGACATTGTTAACACTTGAAATCGAGGCATGCAAAGCATTACAACGCCATGTTGTAACAGACCATAAGGGGGCGTACTTAAATACATTGAATTGTTAGAGCTCCTGCACAGGGTCTGAAAGCAGGACTTTTCATGCAAGGCGGCTGCTGAATGTCGGTAATCAACTCTTGTTGACAGTGAAAATCAATTTCGTAAAAGATGACTTTGTCAGATCTTTAGACTCAAAATAATCAAGTCACACCATGTGTATATAAAATCAAATGCTTTACTGAACCAGAACCAGTATAATTATTAAAAAAAAATGGAGTGGTGTTTTTTGGTCACTTGGAAAGGAGTGTGACAGTTTCTTCATATATTTAATTGGATGGTTAATTTATTAAGTGTGAAATTTTGAATATTTACACATACAAAATCACACTTTCATTTCCCCCCTATATTTATGCAGTAAACATAGGTTCTCTTTGTAATTTTTCCATAGAGAGTTGGTGCACTTCTTGTATGTTGATGTTGTTTACTAAGAGACCTTTTATTGTTACTGCTGTAACAGAGATAGGAATCTAGCCCATAGTACACATTCATGCAGGAGACACTTGCAGCTGTCAGATAGTTGGCAGCTCATTGGCTTGTTTTGAGATCTGAGGATAAAAACCAGTGCAGATTAATGTCAAGATATAGGATTGTATTGTTTTTGCTAACAGACACTTAGCATCAAGGGAGCTTAACTTGATAGCTGACTGTTAGTTTATCCTAGCAAATTCTGTATGGAAGACAGCAGTAGAGTAATGCCACACTTTTGAAGGAAAATACCATGGAATCATAACGTGGAATGTTTTGGGTTGGAAGAGAACTTAAAGATCATCTGGTTCCAAACTCTCAAACTCCCTGCCATAGGCAGAGTCACCTTCCACTAGACCAAATTGCTCAAAGTGCCATCCAACCTGGACTTGACCATTTCCAGGGACGGGGCATTCACAACTTCTCTGGGAAACCTGTTCCAATTTGCCTTTTATTTGGGATTTTTTGTGTTCTTCTCAAATGCTATTAATATAATTTAAGCAAGTCATAATTACCAAAGTTAGACAGAATTTGTAAGTTTCCCCTATTTGTCAGCAGTGGAAATATAACAAATACAATGTCAGAACTTTGCTCTGTACAGGTGTGCAAGACTCTCACTGTACCTGCATAAATGAGATATTGTGGCAACTCCAGAAGATATTTTCAAAATATGTTCTTTATTGCAACAAGCATATGAAAAGAAGTATTAAAATGCTCAATTTCACCTTGTCATTTGTCTGCCAAGGTGAATATTCCCAATGTATATACATCATCTTGTAAATAGAAAATGTATTTGGTTATGCCAAATTCTGGCTTTGATACACTTCTGGTGAATAGATATTTGCTGATTGTATCATTTTAGGACTTAATGTTTGTTCAGTTTGTAATGAAGTCTTAAATGAAAGCTTTATTTGACGATGATATACAGCGATTGATTGTAAGCCTAATGGATTTTCTCTGTGCTTTGGATTGATTAAACAGTGATTTCTGAGTTAGAGAATTGGGAATAAGTGATATTGAACACAGACATTCCATGTACATTTTCATGCTTCAGTAAGTCAAGTTCAAAGAAGTGTTTCAACAGTATATTGGAAAAGATACCTTAATTTAAATTGAAATGTCTCTGAAAATGGCCAAAGTCTGGAAAGAAATTTCTGTCTTTGCGAAAGAGAGTTGTTGCATTTTTTGAAAGTATTACTGTTCTTGCTGGTGAGTTTGTGTTTAGGGGAAACGGGGTGTGTTCTCAGTCAGGGGCAATAGTTCACTCTCAGGTGAACTATCTGAGCATTTGACATTTCCTCCCTTTCCCACCAAACCTAGTGATCATGAAAATGTTGGAACTTAGCTGAGCTGTTCTTAGCACACAATTGTCCTTATGTGAAATCATCATCCCTTCGCGCTGAAATAGTTAATCTGAATAATGCACTGAGCAATTCTTTCTCTAGTTTAGTTCACTGTTCATACATTTGCTGGACAAAATATTGCTAGACCTAACGCTGGAATATGGCCTAAAAAAAAAAAAAAGGCTTTAATTTGACTTATTTCCACCTTATGGGCAGCATGACTTGGCTTACAAGCTTAAATTAAAAACTATGAGATTACTTCCAGAAGAATGTACATCTAGAACAAAGCTCATGAAAAAAGAAATTAAACATATATGGATATTACTGTCACGAAAATAAGGGTCAAACAAGTAATCAGACTAGAATTTAATTAAGTGTCAAAAAACATGGACTATGTTCAGGTATTATGAAAAATATTATGGTATGATATTCTTGCCTGGATAGTATAGTAACAAATAGTTGGATGGAAAGAAAATGTGTCCCAGATTAAATATACCCCTTCAATCTACGAATCCCTCAGGAAAAAACTGCTGTCCGGAATCTTTGGTGATATAGAACTGCTGTATCCAATAAAGTAGTACTGACTGAATCGTAAGTGTTTTCAACTTCAAGCATTTGGCCTACTCAATACAGACAAAATGTTTTTAACATTCATAGAAGTGAAATGTGCATATATGTATGTACACACAAGTGCGAAGGCATAAAATACGTTTTTCTGCACCACTTGCAGAGTAAAGGGCAAAACTCTTCCTTAGCTCTTACTGAACTCTTGTTTACCTGCTTAGAATTTTGAAAATCTTAAATGAATCCCTTATTTAAACACAAGATTTTGCCATCTATTTGATTTTAGTTATACTAGCTGAAGCAGAAATAATCCAGAAGATGACCTTAAACCAGGAATGAAAATGGAAACTACTCAGTGTAGAAGTCACAGTACGCATCTTGGTCTTCTTTTTCACACAGGCTTCAAATAGAGACTCATAAATGCATAGGCATTAAGGTTACAAGTGACTAACAATCATCATAATATGACCTTTTGCATTACAGAAATTATTATTTATGTAAACAAATTCTTGCTTTATGTCCTATGGCTGTGATTGAACTTAAACATATTGTTCATAAAGTTTCCAGTTTTTGAAAATCTGCCACAATCTGGCTGTACAGAAATTGACAAAGGTGAATGGATCACTTCTGCCATGTATTACTGGTGAGAGCTTGAATTTATCAAGATAGCTGCATCTAACTCCATATTGGTCTAAATATATCTGAGTCTAAGGATATCCCATTATGGCTTGTCTTGATTCGCCAAAATATGACTATTAAAAATCAAGATCATCGTTAAAGAAATGGTTGCAACAATAGCATATGTTTAAAAAACAAGCCAAACCAAAACCATCCCCTACCACAAACATTTTTCAGTGCTGTTATGAAATCTAACAAAAGCCAGAGATCCAACATAGGGAACCGGTTATTCCAAGTTTCGTGTTGCTTTTGTCCATTTAATATTTGACGTTTATGAAACTTAAGATAAGCCAATTGATGTCACCAGCAGAGTGAGGTGCCTTCTTTTTCTTCTCATTTAAAAATGGTATTTTAAATTAAAAATTGCCCTAAGATTGAAAAATATAATACAGAATTAGGAAAACAAGTGTTCTGAAATTGCTTTATGTTGCCCAGCTTCATATCAAATAAAAAACATTGTTCGACCCAAACTGAATGGGGATATTTTTGAATAATTAATAGATGGAGTTTCATTTTTGGTTGAAAGAACAATTTCAATCACAGAGAAACATTTTTGTTTCATTTCATGGAAAATGTTATGCCTTTTCTAGTGAAAGAAATGTTTCTTTCAACAATTGTCCAGCAAATGAATTGAAAAATCTTTCTTTACCTGCTTGCATTCCTACACCACGTGTGTTCTTCTGTATTTATTATAAGAGGCTTCTGCATTTATTATAGGAGCCTCGTATAATAAACTTGCCATATTAAGGCAGGCTGAGAAAGTTGGGGCTGTTCAGCCTGGAGAAGAGAAGGCTGCGTGGAGACCTCATAGCAGCCTTCCAGTATCTGAAGGGGGACTACAAGTGGTCTGGGGAGGGACTCTTCATTAGGGGCTGTAGCAATAGAACAAGGGGTAGTTTAGGTTAGATACAAGGAAGAAGTTCTTTACTGTGAGGGTGGTCAGGCACTGAATGCTCCATCCGTGGCAGTGTTCAAGGCCAGGTTGGATGGAGTCTTGAGTGACATGGTTTAGTGTGAGGTGTCCCTGCCCATGGCAGGGGCATTAGAACTAGATGATCTTAAGGTCCTTTCCAACCCTGGAAATATTCTATGAACCTGTTAATTCTATGTTAATGTTAATGTTAATTCTATGACTCTATGAACCTGAATGTACTAATTTGCCCAAGATTTTTATTTAAATTGGGACTTAATAGGGTCACTTTACAGGATGAAAAAAACGGTTAGAGTCAGATTAAACAGAGAAGAGGTGCAAAAGCTCAGCCAAGAGCTCTGCAGAGGGAAATTATTTCCTGTATGACCACAAAACCAAGCCAGGTGGCTTCTTCTAAGTCAGGTCTGACTCCAGTCTGTCAGATGCTGTTAGCCCAAACACAGCTGTTACATCCCCACATATAACACACACAAACAGGAAAGCTTCATAATTTGCATATGAATTAATTAGCCATAAACCCTTTTGACAGTGTGGATAAATAATCCCAGTAATCCTGACCCCTGCTACCCTAATACTATACACATGCCCAGAATTGCTAGCCCAGCAGTCCTTTTAGATATAGGCCATGGGATCCTATTGAATTAAACCCTTAACTCTACAGGACTCTGAACTCTATAAAGATTTAACCTGTTCATTAATGTTGGAAAATTATTCCTTTCAGCCAAATGCCA